TGAATAACTTAAACGCCACAATGGGATTGCATTTGTGAGGGAGACAAAGGTTATTTGGACTTGCTACTTTTGTGTTGGCAGACAGGATAAGGTTAGTCAGAGTTAAAATGTTAAATAAATAGTACTTATAGTGTTTAGTATTCCTATTTGGATAGACTTCCAGTATCACAAATATTTCTGTTATTCATGCTGTCAAAGAAAATTATAGTTAAAAAAATTAGTTTCACTATCTTCAGTTTTAAATTTGCATTGATTTCATGTAAATTTATCAATTTTGATAAAAGAGTTAGCACAAAGGATCACATATAAAGTGTAATAGACTGAAGATGAATAGTCAACTATTCCAAAGCGCTAGTTTTGGGTCTTATTTTACGTAAATTTATCAGTCATTTGTATTATAGCTGTTGAGGAAAATAAGTTTATGTATAACTGTAATCATAATTTTGTTTTTCTTCCTACTCAGTTTTGATGATTTTTTTAATTTTCTGTACACTTAAGTTTCTTTTTTGTAAATTTGTGGTTTTCACTATTTCAGATTTATTTTTTATTCAATAAATTTTGTTAAGAAGTTATCTTTGCTGTAGGATATACTTGCAGATTTATGAGTTGTATATAGAGAATAGTATTTACAAAATACTGCCCAAATATGAAATACTTGAATCATTTTATGCAGCTATTACTGTACAAGAAGGGAGTCTTTCAGTAGTGGATCCAGAGGAGATCTGCTCCATCCCCTTTCCAATGCAAAACTCCAAAGTTTAAGGAAACAATAAAACATCATATAGAAATAAAGGGAAATTACAAATGCAAGTGTTAGAAATATTTTATTTGCTTTTTTGGGATCAAATATGCTCATATTCCTGTATGGACTGTCTGTAATGTGTAAAATGTGGAAGAATGCCATAAGTTATCTTTTCTTCCAAAATGTCATGATTGATTTAAAACCCACCAAGGGTCTTTAAGGGAACCCTTTTCATTGGTATGATTATCAAATATTTCTTTCCTTTTCTAGCCCATCAGTGAGTATTGCTTGATGTAATGTGATTCTTGGGGTAGCTTTGAGTTTCTGATTCTAAGAGTGAGCCACAAGTAAAGCAAAAGATGTTCTTGATGGAAGCAGAAATTATTGATTGTTTGAAGATCTTATTGTTAATTTGCCAATGGGAGTGACTAGCAAAAATCAATGAAAAGTGTCAGGAATTAGAATTGGGGATATTTCAAAAAGTCTTCAGATTCCCAGGAGAAGGGGAAAATCCCCCTATTAGCTTCTATAATATCCATTAACTTGGACCATACTCCCCCCCCCCCTAGAAAATCCTGGATCTGTCCTTGGTCACAATATACAGTTTTGGTCTTCTTACATGCATGTTAGTCATTAGGTAATTATATGTATGTTGAGTAAAGCTACTTGAAATGTGTAAAACATTTTCAGTAAGTAAAGTAGAACTCCAATAATGCATAGCAGACTTAGGTTTTATAATAAAAAGAACATGCTGTGTTGTAGTAACTTTTTAAGATGTTTAGTGATGTATCTTTGGGTTTTTTTAGAATTATTATATTTAAAATTGCTCATTTTAATTTCTTTTATATAAATATCTGCTATACCTTTTGTACATGTCAGGTTTGTTTTTCAGTTCAACTGACGAGCCATTCAGTACTATGTCAAAGTATCTTTAAAAACAGTTTTATTAATACTACTTAGATTTGTTTATGTATATACACACAAGTGTATACTTCAGAAGTTGTTGGTAGGTATAAATGAATAATATTTCCATGTTAAAAATACAAAAGCTAGTTGTTTTAAATGATAGGGTTGTTATTGGACAGAATACATTGGAAAAAGCTTGCTGTTGAAAAATTTGGCTATGAAGATATAAACATAAAAATATTTATACTGGTAATGATTATATTACTTTAGTATATTAAAAAACAATGAAGGTGTAGTAATGTTAGTGTTAATATTTAATTATCTAACAAATTTATTAATCTTTATTTCTGATCAAAGCAAGTTAATTACATAGATCAAGACTAAACAAATATATCTGGTAATGAACGTAGCTAATTAAATATAATGTTCAAACTACAATACTTATAATTATTAGAATGCATTGTTTCATCATTGGATACCTTCCCTATTAACAGTATTTTTCTCCATAAACTGCTTGTTTTCCATAATCAACAACATTTATATCAAACTCAATTTACAACAGGCTTTTCAAGTACTCAAGGATAGAAGAAAGTACATGTTAGCTATTAATGAAATGTACTTCAGATAGTATTTTAAGTGTTCAATTTGGTTAATGAGAATAATAAAATTGAATTATATTACTTGTTTTCTATAAAAAGGAGTAATATATTTAAAAATTGAAATAAACTTTTCATAACATTCATTAACTATTTTGATATACTTTCTTTAGCTCTTGATTACCTGTTCTCCTTCTGTTTGAATTGGCTATTAAAGTTTTTGGTCAAAATCTATGACTACAAATTTAAAATGACCAGGATGTGTTGATGTTAATGCTCAGTTTTTGTGACATTACTTCATGTCATTGAAATTTGTAATATAGAAATCTGCTTCTTCATAGTTTGACAGTAATATAACTGTTCTGAATATGCATTTTTCCTTTACCACACACTTTCTTGTTATTAATTTCTCAAAACTTTCTTAAGAAAATGAATAAGAAATGTACTAACATTTGTCTGACCTTCAAATTCTGTTTTCCTTAGTATCTGGTATGGAAATATGTCATAAAAACTTGATTTGCTAGGAGTGGAAAGATAACTGTATTACTCATTCTTAAAGACTAGTTGAGTACTTCAATATTGTTTTAT